AGAATCCAGTCCAATAAATATCTTTCTTCCAATGATTCAAACACTGCAGAAGTGATGTGGAGCTTCAAGAGAAACCCAAGATGAATGGCCTTGCCAGGAGAATGAGGAAGTTTCTCTTTTTCTTTTTTTAGCTTATTAATACCCTCTCCAGTCATCCTGAAAATTTTAGGTCATTTTTTTATTTCTTCAGTTGTTAAACAACTAGACAATATTCTTCCTCCCTAAGCTGATAGGAGAGCTCAATGAGTAGTGCACAAACAATTCTTTCTACCATGCAAACTTCAGAGTGCACCAACAGCAAAAATAAGACTCATCTGAAACCTAAGTACCATGGAGATGAGGCACTTCATTCAAATGGCTTCTCCCAGATCTCTGAATCTGTGTAAGTTTCTTAACAATTTTGTGTCTTGTCTTCTTTTTAATATCTGTGCAAAAAATAGGATATAGCATTTGGGTGGGAGGATTAGAACAGGGTTTCTTTGGTAGCTGTGTCTCTCCTAAAACTAGTGCTGCAGACCAAGCTAACCTCAGAATCACGGAGATTTGCTGCCTCTGCCTCCAGAGTGCTGGGCTTAAAGGTATGTGCCACCACTGTCTGTCACAGTACCTGGCTTTATACATCATGTTTGTGAGATAAAGTACATAAACCAATTCCCTACACACAGCTATTTAAAAAATAGCTAGTTACTGTAGATTACTTTTGGTACCAATGACAGCTTATGCTGGAGAGGATATGGAGAAAGGGGAACACTCTTCCATTGCTTGTAGGAGTAAAAACTTGTACAGCTGCTGTGGAAATCAGTATGACAATTTTTCAGAAAATTAGCGATCAACCTATCTCAAGACCCTGCAATACCACTGTTGGGCATATACCCAAGGAGGCACATTCATACCACAAGGACATTTGCTCAACTATGTTCATAGCAACAATATAACCAGATCTTGGAAACTACCTAGATGCCCCTCAACTGAAGAATGGATAAAGAAAATATGATATATTTACACAATGGAGCACTACTCAGCGATGAGAAACAATGACATCCTAAAACTTGCAGGCAAATGTTGGAGTTCAACTGAAGTGAGGGAGGAGCAATAATATGAACAAAGGAGTCAAGATCATGATGGGGAAACCCACAGTATCAGCTGACCGAGCTAGTGAGAGATCACTGACTCAGGTCTGACAAATGGGGAACCTTCATAAGACTGAACTAGACTCTCTTAATATAGGTGACAATGATGTGACTGGGACAATATATGAGGCCACTGGCAGTGGGTCCAATACCTAACACTAATGCACAAACTGACTTAGTGGAACCCATTCTATATGGAGAGATAGATGCCTTGCTCAGTCTAACAGGGTGCGGTGGGTGGAGAGGTGCCTTGCTCCCACCTCAACGAGATGATGGGACAGACTTAGTAGACTTCCTAAGGGAGAACTTACCCTCTCTGAAGAGCAGATTGGAGGTAGTGTGGGATTGGGAGAAGAGGAGGGAGGGGAAAAATGGGATAGGAATATAATAGATAGATAGATAGATAGATAGATAGATAGATAGATAGATAGATAGATAGATACTAGCTACAAAGGATTAACAAGGCACTTAGTTTACTTATATTAGGCAAAACACAACTGATTAACGATTTGGATTTCACATCATTTGTCTTATATTGTATAAGCATTGAATGTCTACAATTCAATGCCCTGCCAAGATCAAAGAGCAGGATTCTGAAGGCCAAAAACACCTGGATTCCAGTCTTGGCTCTGAGTCTTACTGGCTGAATCCTTGTGGGTATGTAATTTAACTTTCTGGCATCTCATCCCCTTCCTCTAAAAAAATTATTATCTACTTGGTGAGATTCTGGTGAAGAAGATACAAGGGCAAGCAGAAAGGCAATGCCAGATGCTGACTCCTCCCACTACACCACACAGGTCCAAAGAGTTAGAAAAAGCTGGAGAAATCTTTCTCCTAGTCCTCCTGTATTGTGGGTCAACTTCTCCCAACTATTTCCTAAAACTGGGAATGGTTCCAGGGACAGGCTGCAGCTGAGGACAGAGAACAGAAAAGAACAGAAATCAAGGACAGTTGGGAGACATAGCTGTGGGCAAACTCAGATCCTTGTGGATGGAAATTGGCTGGTCCTGGTGTCATTGGGCAATGACCATGGGAAAGAACAGACAAACAAGAAATAGTGCGTGGTCTTAAAGATACAGAAAAGGCTTCAAAGTCAGAGAAAAGGAAGGTGATTTGAGTGAGTGGATGTCAGAGAGTGGATGATGAGAGGAGGTCTGGAAACATCTCAGATGCTCAAAATGCTTGCTTGCTTTGTGTTCTTAAAGTATGGGTGAAATACCACACGTATCTTGAAACACTGCCATTCCTTCCTTAACTACTTCTGGGATTTGTTTTCCCCCATTCATAAAGCACTGGTTTATCACAAAATCATTATCCTAAGCACCATTTTTTATCATGCCAAACAATCAACTTTTATTGTATACAATTCAAATTAGAGGGTCCAGATGAGGTCACAGAACAGACTCAGCACAGTAAATACCCCTCTTCCACAGAACACTTTGTTTTCTCGCTCCACTGGAGAAGAGAAGAGCAGAAATAAATTTTGACAAATGAAAGCAAAATATCTCCCTTAAAAGGGATTGGAAAACTTGAAAGATGTCAGAGGACTCTACAAATAAAATGTAATTATGGTTATTAATGATGGATGACAACGTTATAGATAACAGAATAAAATTAGGCAAATTGAACTCAGCCCTAGCCCTGGGAATAAACATACAAAATATGAGTATGAAGATATTTATTAGTCCACTCACCTTATGGTCTATAAAATGAGCCCCAAACAGATTAAAATCAGTGACTTCCTAGACACAAATTACTCCCTGGAAGATGCTTGTGCCTTTTGGGAGAGTTTTTCAACTCCCAAGTTGTTTGAAAGCTTTTAATGTAGGAATGGAATTAATAACTGATACCCTGGGGAGCTCGTAAGAAGTGAGAAGAGAATGACTCAAAGGGAGTCATTTGGAGAATTCTGTTAAGTGTAAGACAAACAGGGGACAGGAGAGATCCTTCTGTGATTTGGACAAGACTAAAATGTCCACACCCTTCTCCACTTACTCCCAATCCCTGTGAATTCCAAGTGAGGCCTGGAAGAGGCTCTATCCTGATTAGCATCTAGAGTGCTCTGTAGTGCTCTAGCAACTTCCTTAGAGACTAATTTATTAATGAGGATACAGCAGAGAAATTGTGTTCCCATGTGTTTAATTTGTTAACAGAGTTCGCTATGTATCTTACATGTGTACAATTTTTATGACTACCTAGTAGACTTTATTAGTGTTAATCTAGTCTGGTCAAGTGAACTTGTTTCTGACAAAAAAGACAGTGTCTCCGTCACCGTTTTTGTTAACATTTTAAGAGTTCTTTTTCAGTGCAGGAGGCTGGTTTTTCATTACAGTGACAAGGTATGAGGTCACTTGGTGATCAGATAATGCAGTGACCCATTATTCTTTCATTTAATAAGATGGAACTCATAATTTTAAGTAGATTCTTTTTTTCCTTATTTTAGTATTCTGAGATGGAGTTTCTCTGTGTAGCTTCGGAGCCTGTCCTGTAACTCACTCTGTAGACCAGGTTAGGCTCAAACTCACAAACACCTCCTGCCTCTGGCTCCTGAGTGCTGGAACTAAAGACATGTGCCACCACTTCCTGACCATAGCATCTATCTTAGACCTCACATGCTGGTTAAGCTCTAACAGTATTTCTTCTTGAGTAGGTGATCATTCTGTGTCTTTACTAAACTTTTTACTCTTGCTACACAAGTTATCAACTCAGAGATGTTTGCCAAACAAATTATCATCACATTTTATTACACCAATTGAATCTTGACTATCACATATTATAACTGGAATTGTCACGTGATATATTGTTCATTAGGTAATTGTTCCCTTTGGAGAACTGTGTGTTAAAATGATTAAAAATGTGAAATTCCCAGGATAAATACTGATCTACTACCCAAGGCTCAATAGATTACCTAGCCCTCCTCACTGACACCCACATTCAGGGGGTCTTGATCAGTCCCATGCTGGATTCCCAGGCATCAGTCTGGGATTTAAGATCTAACCCTTGTCTGGTCAGCTGTTTCTGGGGGTTAAACCAGCCCAGTCTTAACCCCTTTGCTCATCAGTCCTCCCTCTGTGTCACTGGGTTCCTTGCATTCAGCTCAGTGTTTAGCTGTGGGAGTCTGCCTCTGCTACCATCAGCCATTGTATAAAGGTTCTGTTCCCCAGATTCTCTGGCTGTGGGATTCTAGGCTGGCACTCCCCAGATCTATGTTTAAAATCCATATATGAGAGAGTACATACCATGTTTGTCTTTCTGTGACTGGGTTACCTCACTCAGGATGGTTTCTTCTAGTGCCATCCATTTGCCTGAAAATTTTAGGATTCCATTGTTTTTTTCTGCTGAATAGTACTCCATTGTGTAAATGTACCACATTTTCTCTATCCACTCTTCAGTTGAGGGGCATCTAGGTTGCTTCCAAGTTCTGGCTATTACAAATAATGCTGCACTCCCATCCAACAATGAGAGATGCACTCTCATCCTGGACTCTTGGGGGAGGGTCTAGGCCCTGCCCTGGATGAAATGACAGACTATGGACACCCCCATAGAGGGCCTCACCCTCCCTGGGGAAATGAGGAGATATTGGGGGGAAGTTGGTGGGAGGGCACGGGAGGAGGGCAGGGAAAGGGAGAGGGACCTGGAATTGACAAGTGAAGCAACCTTGTTTCTAATTTAAATATAAATTTAAAAATAAAATATAAAAAACCTAAGGAAAAAATAAAAATGCCTTGAAACTGAAAATAAATGTGAAATTCAGAAAGATAGTTGCCGTTTGTAAGATCTTTTAAAAGTATTCCCAGTAGTTTCTTGCTAAACTTAGGCTTTCTCAACAATGTTCATTGTTTTTTGTTTGTTTGTTTTGTTTTGTTTTAGGTCCCTGGTTCCTATGCATGTGGGTCCTACCCAGTGCTTGAAGCCCTCTTTTACTTCATGAACATGAATTGATGCCTTGAACAAAAGAGGACTCCATAACGGGATTTCACTGAATTAACAATTCACCTTTTGCTTTTCCAAATGATGAATGTTTTTACACAGGGCAAGCTTCTGGCCAGAGGGCCTTTTCCCCTAAAAACTTATTACAGAACAAAATTCTAGTGATCTCAAGCTCTGAATGGAGACACAAGAAGTACCATCAGGCAGAATACATTTCTCTTAGTAGGGATTTGGAGAAATGTGAAGGTGAGTTATAATATTTATTTTTAAAATACTTCCATCACAAAGGGACCTTGTAGAACATTCTAGTCAATTAGCCTTTCAGGCAACCTTGACCTTCACATAGCATCCTTGAAAATGAAACTGGAGCTGAAAATTTGAGAGTGCTGATGAGAGAATCTTTGCTTTGTTCCAGTGGGGTTTTTGTTTTGTTTTGTTTGTTGTTTTTTCCCAGATTCATTCCCTTGTGTCACAATTTCATTATGACCTGGAAAAACCATCTTTAGCTTGTCCTGAAGAGTTACTGTGAAATGATCATTGCTACCTGATGTCACATCAGCTACTCATAACAATTTCCCTACATCCATTAGACCACATTTTGAATGAAGCTATTGGGTTGGGTTAGGATTTATAAAAGTATGTTTTAGGTAAAGAGCCCTTCTCTATCTCATGACCTAGAGCACACTATCCTGACACTTTGATAGCACTTCTGGTGTTTAAACCTAAATCCTGGTGTCATGTGGGCACCTTTCCACTTGGTGGCAGTACATGTTCAGAACAATCTACCAGGACCAGCTGACAGTATTTCCAAAAGGGAACTTGTAGTTCTTTTTTATAAATTCTAATAGCAGTCCTTTTTAGGAAAAACAACAACAACAACAATTCATTGGTCATGTAATTGACAAGAGATAAACAACAATTAGACTATCTTCCAGATGCTTATATATTTTAATTAATTACTTCAGAGTACATAGGTACAGATATATGTCATCACTGTTGTATTACCAATATCTCCTTCAGTCTCTGGCATTCAAGATTTTAGAAACTAATTTTATGCCAATAGGATATCTAAGAGAAAAATCTGAGTTATGAAACATGAACTCACCAGTCTTCTCCATCAAGTGTCTGAAGCTCAGATTGCCATACTTGGTGTCTAAGCAAATGTAAAGGTTATGATCATGTTTATATGCCAGGTCTTATATGATCTTGTTTTCAGCATGTTATAGGTGGAAGCTGCTAAGTTATCATTACCAGTGAATTATGATAGAAACAATCGGTCAATTTTCAATTTCTTACATGTTCATTTTCTAGATTTTATGCTTAAGCATTAACCTACCCAGACCTGTGCATTGGAGCAAGCTAGAAATGACACTCTTGGGAGTCTATCTTTCTGTGCATCTCTGTTATGGCTATTTATTTACATTGACAATGCTTTTTAGAACCAGTTATTTGAGCCATGGTGCATCTTAGAAAGTGTTTTTGGCCATGGATACACATACCATCTGTATTAAAGTAAACTTGGAATTATTTCTAAGGGGAGAAAGATTATTAGCACAAACTGAAAAGAAAATTATCTCAAAGTGAGTCATTGGATTAATTGATGGAGGATTAGCGGGTTTTGTTGAAAACATTTACAACAAGCACAAAGTTTACCTAAGTAATTGTCATTGAAAGCCCACTATATATTGCTTAAACAATTTGCAATTATTTTAATAGTCAGAAATTGCAGCTCACTAAAAAGAAACTGCAAGGGAATAACAGCATTGTGTTTTTATTATACATGCTTAAAATTATAATTCTAAAATTTCTGTTTGTCTACAGACTAATTTTTTGTTTATTTTTTCAAGATTGGGTCTTTCTGTATAGCCTTTGCTGTCCTGGAATTCACTCTGTTGACCATGCTGGCCTTGAACTCACAAAGATCTGCCTGCCTCAAAGACATGCACTACTACCACTCAGCTTCTACAGACATTTTTACATGCCATATGATGGGAAATGTACAACTCTTTCTTTCCTATTATTGCAATAGTTACAATCACGAAGATTTTCAAAACACCAAATAATCCAATTAAAAAGTGGGGTACAGAACTAAATAGAGAATTCTCAACAGAGGAGTCTAAAATGGCTGATAGATACTTAAGAAAGTGCTCAACATCCTTAGCCATCAGGGAAATGCAAATCAAAGCAACTCGGAGATACCATCTTACTTCTGTCAGAATGGCTAAAAATCAAAAACACCAATGATGGTTTATGCTGGAGGGGATGTGCAGAAAGGGGAACACTCCTCCACTGCTGGTGGGAGTGCCAACTTGTACAACTACTTTGGAGATCAGTATGGAGATTCCTCCGGAAAATGGAAATCAGTCTACCGCAAGATCCAGCAATTCCACTCTTAGGCATATACCCAAAAGATACACATTCATACAATAAGGACATCTGTTCAACTATGTTCATAGCAGCATTATTTGTAATAGCCAGAACCTGGAAGCAACCTAGATTTTCATAAGAATTTTTTAAAGGAACCTTTTGTAAATTTTGCTCAGTTGAGGAAAATTGAACTATATGTACAAGTTAAATCACTGAAAAGTAGATAAGATAACACTTTTTAGTCGGTCCTGTGCTAGTTTTCATATGTAGAATTATGGTCAGCATTGAATACAATGTAAAGGAATTTAAATGCCAGATTCTCTTGGCCATTACTTCAGAAAACCTCCTGGCAATGCCAGGGAAGTGTGTCAGAGAGGAGCCATCAGACGAGAACACAGCATGTTCTTTGGCAGCAGGATATACAGTGTGTATCCTCTCTGTGTTCCTTTTCAACAGACAGCTATGTGCTTTGATGAAATTTAAGATGCTTTCTAAATATATTTCTTGATCAGGTTAGGGCTGAAATGAATTTGCCCGTGGACATCGTATGAAAGCACAGAACAAATGGGACAGGCATTGATCCCTAAGGACTGTGGGGAAAGGGAGGAGAGTGTTGGGTATGAACTGGGCAAGGTGCTCTCTGCTGCATGTGATAGTGACTGTCTGAGGTGGGAAAGAGTGAACCAAGCATGAAACATGCCTATTGTATTTAGTAGTCCTCCCTGTTCACCTCCCTGCTTGAAGATAATGAAAATGGGGTGTGGTTGGTGCATATGGAAGGGTTTCAGTGCTTTACACTCCCCATCCCTGCCTTGGAACACGTCTCAACTATAATCTGTCTGCTGTTGTTACTTAGGTAAACAGCGGAAAGCTACAGCCGAAAGCTTCAACTGGCAGCCCATACAAAGATACTGTCTACACGTGATCTCAAATATTTTTTCAGTTGACTGAGAAAACTGAGACTAAGAATCTCCATGCATATCAGTGAAGGAGACTTTTAAAACATTCTGAGGATATTTTTCTTCAAAGTAGCTTTGGGAAATGTTCTTAAGTCACCATTAATGCAGCAGCAGGCATATAGTCACTTAAGACATCCCAAGAATTTACCCTTTGCAGAGCAAGTGAACCAGTTTCTGAGGACTGTTAGCTTTGGATTGGAAGCAAGACTTCAATTCTGATCAGTTTTCTTGTAAAGTTTCCAAAGTTGACTAAATGCTAGTTTGACTACATACCTGAAGAAGATAGATCTGATTGCAAACCAAACTCTCACCATTAATAAAGAAATAAAGACCTGACTTTATTTATTTTCTTTACTACTGATAACCCCCAAATCCAATATGTGAAAGAGCCTCACATCTTTTCATCATTCTCTACAAGGTTACTTCACTCAGGTACCAGCTCTTCAGATGCCATCTGTTCTAAAAGTCTTCTCAACATCCCTGTTGGGATTCATACCCTTCCTCAAATTCATATGCTAAGGTCATAACCCCAATGTAACTATAGTTAGAGATATGCTATCTGTCTGTAAGTTTGCATCTATGGTACAGGATATACATTCTGCATTATGGCCCTACCAACTATGACTTCCTTTAACTTCAAATACATCTCTAAAGACCTTGTTTCTGAATATAGCTATAGGGTTATGACCTTGGCATATGAATTTGAGGGAGAATATGAATGCCCTTGTAACAGGGTTTTGGGAAGGCTTTTAGAATACATGGCATTTGCAGATCTGAGACCTGATTGAAATAGCCTAGTGAAGAATAACTAAGTGACAATTTGTGTCACTTCCTCTTATGATATCTTATGGTTGATATGATCTTAAAGGAGATGGAGAAGGAAGGAAGAACCAAGTATAACACTTAAGCTTAGACCAAAAATGAACAATAAAATGATGTAGGCAAGAGGCATGGACTAACATAGAGACAGTTCTATGGTGGAGGATATCTAGTACAGATGTTTCTTATTCTATCACATTGTTTCTCAAAATTGACACATATACACGGGAATTATCTGGGGATGGTTTACAAATTTGGGTCCTGGTTTAACATCTGTAGTCTGATCTCCACACAATACCACATTATTTTATTATTATAGATATTTATATACATACATAGTATGTATGTATATGTATGTACATAATACATACATTATGTACATAAACATTATGATGGATCAGATGGACAGGGATTCTGGCACTCAGGAGCAACAGAATACGTAGTGTTGCAGCTTGGAGGGAAAAGTATTCTGGCAATCAGGAGCCAAGGAATATCACAGATCACAATAAGCATAGCAGCTTACAGCCTTGCTTTAGGGAAAAGCTTCCCAATTTAACAGCTCTGCTCTGGCAGGAGTGGGTTTCCCCAGTGAAGCTGTTACAGTTCCAATTTGACTCTGGTCCCCTGGTCCTCTGAGTATGGAGTGTAACAACTCCACTTCACCACGAGAAGGTTTCCCCAGCAAAACTTGGCTCTGCTGTGCTTCTCCCAGTGTCATTTCTGCTCCAGCAAAAGAAGATCTTCACCCAAACCTCATTCAAGAGATTTATTGGGAGGGAAGAAACCAGGAGAGTGGCTGCCTCTGCCAGGGTAGGAGACAGTTGGACAGCCACAAGCTGAACAGGCACAGGGTTTATATAGTGCTTCTTAGTGGTAGAGTTTTTCCAGGGAGATGTTCAGGATGGGGATTGGTCAAATTTCAATCCCTGGACTCAGAATGGATAGATTTCCTGCTTATGGATTGGTTGGTTTTCTGCACAGTTCAGGGTCATATATGGCTCTGGTTTCAGGGCCAAAGTGTGTTTCTTTCATTGGTCTTTTTGAGCCTTTTGTCTCTAATTTTAGGGCTAGGGTGTATTTCTTTCACTGGCTCTGATACCAAGGACAAAGTGTGTTTCTTTGGCACTGGTTTTAGGGTCATGGTGCATTTCTTTGGTTCTGGTTGCAGGGCCAAAGTGTGTTTCTTTGGCTCTGCTCATGGTATGTTTCTTTGGCTGACCCTTTTTCCTTACAATCATGCAGTATGATCTCTTCAATTTTTGTCCTTATCTTTTTAAATTGTGTCCTGACAATATTAACTTGACTTATTAACAACAACTTGTGGAAGACAACAAGTTATAGAGCCAAGGATCTAGGAGAAACCTATGAAGGAAGTATATAAAGGAAAGTCTAATACAAATGGGCATATATTAGACAAACTGTTGTAAACCAATAGATAGATAGATAGATAGATAGATAGATAGATAGATAGACAGACAGACAGACAGACAGACAGACAGATAGATAGATAGATAGATAGACCACCTTAAAGGCCTTAGAATAGACAAAAAATCACTGTCTTGTCAAATGAGACAAGAATTGCAGGTGATTCCCTTTCAGCAACCATACAAGATAAAAGAGCATTATCTTTAAAATGCTGCAAGGAAAGAGGACAGAAATGATGAGTTATAAATATCAGGCTTGAAGAATTCATCACTGTAGATTTTGCAGACATCTCAAGAATAATAAGCAGCTACTTTCCAAGTCTGCATTTCCTGTTTCACAAACATAAATCTGATATGACAGGTAAAGTGAATGAGCTCATGGAAGGACAAACTCCTCAAATTCTCTTAACAAAAAATATAATCTAAATAGCTCTGCATAATAATAAAAATCAAATTAATAATTTAAAACTTACCCCCTTATTGGTAAATTTTGCTAAACATTAAGAAAGAAATAATAGCAACTCTAGACAAAGTACTCCAGAACACAAAAAGGGAAACCTTCCCATATTTTGTGAGACCAGTATTACTTCACTAACAAAAACTCAACATTCTCCATGTACCTATAAACAAAATTCCAGCAAAATATTAGCAAACCAAATCTTGCCACTATATAGTATGATTAAAGTAGAGTTTACACATTAGGCAGAGCTCAAGGAACCCTTAAGAAGAGGGGAGTAAGAACTGTAGGAGCCAGAGTGGGTAAAGGACACCAGGAGAACATGGCACAGAGCTCAAGGAACCCTTGGGGAGGAAAAATTGTAGGAGCCAGGGTGGATAAAGGACACCAGGAGAACATGGCACAGAGAATCAACTAAGCAGGGCTCAGAGGGGCTCACAGAGACTGAAGCAGCCATCGTGGAGCCTACATGGTTCTGCTCTAGAGTCTCTGCATACATGCTTCAGTTGTTTATCCTGTATTGTTTCTGAGACTCCTAATGGTAGGAATGGGGGTGTCTCTGATTATTTTGCCTGCTCCTGGGATCCTTTTCTTCCTACTGGATTTCCATTTTCAGCCTTGATATGAGGGTTTGTTCGTAGTTGTATTACATCTTATTACACCAAGTTTGGTTGGTAGTACTGGTATGCCTGCTGTTTCTGAAAGGATATGGAGAGTAGTAGATCTGGGGGAGAGGGAAATATGATGGGTACTGAGAGGAGTTGAGGGAGAGGAGACTGTGGTTGGGATATATTATATGAGAGAAGAATAAATAAAAGGAAAAAAGAAAAAAGAAGAACGTTTATCTCAGGATTGGTTCAGTTTTATAAAATTCAATGGGATTCACCATATCTATGTTTTTTTTTAAAAATATTTATTTTATTTTTATTTGTGTGTGTAGATGCATGTGCATGCATGTGCACATGTGTGTGGTTGCCTATGGAATCCAGAAGACAGTATTGGATATCCTAGAATTAGAGTTACAGGAAATTGTAAGCCACCCTATATGAGTCCTGGGAACTGAACTCCGATCCTCTGAAAGAGTAGCATATGCCTTAACCACTGAATCATTTCTGCAGACCCTGTTTTCATGTTCTAATAAGAAAAGTTGTACATTTTCCTCCATAGATGCAGAAAAACATTTGACTGTATCAAATTTCCATTAATTACAGAATCTCTTAAAACTAGAAACAAGAAATGGGATGAGGAGTCCCACAGTTAAAGTGTAACTTGTATTATTAGTGAGGAGAATGTTTGGGACCGTGTGGAGATGCTAATGCTCTGTTCTTGAATTAGTAGTCTTCCTGATCCAGATATTAGGCGAGCAGCATCCACCCCCCCCCTTTCAGATGAGGTCCCCGATGATGTTAGTGTTGACTGTCAACTTGACAGAATCTAGAATCACAGGAGAGATGGGCTTCTAGTTATACCGTGGAGAATTATTTTAAATTAGTTTTAATCAATGTTACAAGATCCATCTTAGTTATGAGCATGACCATTCCCTGGGCAGAGAAACTGAACTGTGTAAGTTGAGAGGGGGTGGTGAGCAGTAGCATATACTCATTCATTGCATCCTGCCAGTAGATACACTATCATCAGCTGCTTCAAGCTTCTACTGCTGTTACTTCTTTGCCAGGGTAGGCTGTAGCTTGAACTGTGAGTCCTAATAAACCTCTTTTCCTCAAATTGCTTTGGTCAAAGTATTTAAACAGAGCAACAGGAAAATAAACCAAGACACTCCCTAAAACCTCATGTTTAAAGACAAACCATGAAACGTCCCTTCCCCAAAAGGCAGATTCCAAATAGAAGAAGACACTTAGTTGGCCATACTTTATTCCTTCGCAATTCATGAGTTAGACATCATCTATATTGACTGAGGTAGGAATCTCAGCTTCTGCAACCATGTCGGAGGCAAACCTCTATGCACAGCTGTGAGAGATCATATTGATTAGGTTCACTGAGGTAGGAAGAACACCTAAGATGCGGAAATACCATTCCTTAGGCTGATGTGCCTAAAGAATTAGAACGATAGATGAGCACTAGCGCCTGCCACTCTTCTGCTTCCCCAGTGTGGAAGCAATGCAGCCAGCTGAGCTGCATCTGGTGCCTGCCACCATGACTTCCTCACCATAATGGCTTGTATTCTTGAAGTGTAAGCAACAACCTTTACCCTCTTAAGTCAATCCTTGTCAAGTATTTAATCACAGCAAGGATAGAAGCAACTAACACAACTACTCTAAGCATATCATTTAACACACTGTGTGGGACAAAATATACACTCTGTAAACAGCCTTGAATGACTTCTCCCTATAATTATGAACCAACATGGTAGCTAGCCTTAAGTTCATAACTCTTGGGGAAACCAGTGTATAAAAATAAAATTGCTCAACCACCCACTAAAATTTGAGCTCTGCTTTTCTTTACCACCACTATTCCACTTAGCTACTAGTGATAAAACTTCATTCCCAGCTTAGGGATAAGAAACCAGGCTTCAGTCTCCTCTATGTCTCACCTAAGAAGACTATTGGCAAAGTTTGTCATGAGGCTGGCGTATGTGTCTAGAATCGCAGCTTCTGTTGACTGGCTTGCAT